TGTTCTAAAGCCTGATAGTCTTCTAAGGAAAGATAAAGACATTGATTTCTCTTTGATAAGTTCAAGTCTGTATGCTAAAATATCTGGAGTATCAAATAGAGAGTATAAATAAATGATTTAACTAAAAGCTAGTAGAGGAAGAAAGTATGGAAGGGGGAGCATCAATCAAAAAAAAAAAAAAAAAGAGGAAGAAAACTCATGGAAAAGACAAGACAAAAAGAGAGCACAGCCCTGGCCGGTTTGGCCCAGTGGTTAGAGCATCGGCCTGCGGTCCTGAGAGACCCGGGTTCGGTTCCTGCTAAGGGCGCGTACCTCGGTTGCAGTTTGTCCCCGGCTCTGGTCAGTCGTGCGGGTGGCAGCCACTCGATGTGTCCCTTTCACGTCGATGTTTCTCTCTCTCTCTCTCTCTCTCTTCCTCACTCTACCTGGACAAAAAATGGAAAAATGTCCTCGGGTGAGGATTAAAAAAAAAAAAAGAGAGAGCACAAAAACATGATCAAATAAATCCAAGTACACCAGTAATTACAATAAATCTAAATGGATAAATAATCCAACTAAAAGACAAAGATTATCAGACTAGATTTAAATATATATGTTTTTACAAAAGATACATCTAAAACACATAGAAAAGTTGAAATATGTCAGGCAAAGTCTAACAAAAAGCAAGTTGATATGAAACTTAAGATTAAAAGGGTTTATTAAAAGTAAAGAAGGGCAGCCCTGGCCGGTTTGGCTCAGCGGTTAGAGCGTCGGCCTGCGGTCTGGAGAGACCCGGGTTCGGTTCCCGCTAAGGGCACGTACTTCGGTTGCAGTTTGTCCCTGGCCCTGGTTGGTCGTGCGGGTGGCAGCCACTCGATGTGTCCCTTCACTTCGATGTTTCTCTCTCTCTCTCCCTCCCTCTCTATCTGTACAAAAAATGGAAAAATATCCTCGGGTGAGGATAAAAAAAAAAAAAAAAAAAAAAAAAGTAAAGAAGGGCAGCCCTGGCCAGTTTGGCTCAGCAGTTAGCGCGCCACCCCATGAACCAGAGAGGCCCGGGGTCGGTTCCCACTAAGGGCACATATCTCAGTAGCAGTTTGTCCCCAGCCCGGTTGGGGTCGTGTGCATGGAAACCACTCAATGTATCTCTCTCACATTGATGTTTCTCTCTCTCTTTCTCCCTCTCTCCCTCCTGCTCTATCTGAAGATAAATGTAAAATGAAAGAATAATTGCTTAATAAATTCAACTTAATGGGACAAAAATCTTTTTTAAAAAGTAAAGAAGGTAGCCCTGGCTGGTTTGGCTCAGCAGTTAGAGCATTGGCCCTCGGACCAATGAGTCTCAGGTTCAATTCCAGTCAAGGGCATGTACTTTAGTTGAGGTTTGTCCCTGGCCCTGGTAGGGGGGTACGGAAGGCAACCAGTTGATCTCTCTCACATCAATGTTTCTCTCTCTCCCTCCCTCCCTCCCATTCTATCTAATAATAAATGGGAAAATATCCTCAGATGAGGATTAAAAATAAATAAATAAATAAATAAGTAAATAAATAAATAAATAAATGTAAAGAAGGTAATAACATTGATTAAAGGTTCAATACACTTGGAAAATCTAACAATACTGATTTATATGTACCTAATAGTATTGTCTTATTGACAGAACTACAGGGGGAAATAGACAAAATCCACTATCAGATTATGAGACATTTTTACATACTCCCTCAGTAATTTACAAGTTAATCAGACAAATCAATAAGGAAATAGATTAGAGCAAAGCAATTAATAAGCTATATCTCAATGATAATACAGAACACCATCCCCTATGGAATATATATTCTTCTCAAATGTATGTGAAACATTTATGAGACCTAACCACCAACTGAGCCATAAAGAAAGCCTCAACAAATGTCAAAGACTCTGTGAAAGTAAGGTACTTTTTATGTGTTTATTTTATGAAATTTGGAAAATAGAGAAGAAAAATCACCTACAATTTTACTACTTAGAAATAATAATTGTTAGTTTAGTGGGTTATTCCTCTCCTCTATATTATTCTAAATAAAATGAAATCACACTGAATATGGTTTTTTTTAAATCCTGTCTTTTTCACTTAACATGATAAGCACTTTCCCATGTCATTAGCAATGCTTTGTAACCCTTCTGTTGGCTACATAATAATATTCCAACAATTGGATATGTGAGGATTTCCTCAATCATTTCTTTATTGTTGAATAAGTTTTCCAAGACCATAAACAGCCCTGTAATTAACTTTGTGGCATTTACAAGCACCTTTCATCCAAGGACCTCAAAGCACTTAAGAATGACCTAATTTTGCCTGGCCAGTGTGGCTCAGTGGTTGAGCATCTATCTACCCATGCACCAAGAGGTCACCAGTTTGATTCCTGGTCAGGGTACATGCCCAGGTTGTGGGCCTAATCCCCAGTGGGGGTCGTGCAGGAGGTAGCCAATTGATGTTCTCTCTCATCAATGTTTCTATCTCTCTGTCCCTCTCCCTTCCTCTCTCTCTAAAAACAATTACAAAAAAAAAGTTTTAATTAAAAAAAAACAAACAAAAAACAATGAAGTAAATTATTTTTTTAAAATGACCTAATTTGCCCTGGCCGGTTTGGCTCAGCGGTTAGAGCGTCGTCCTGCAGTCCAGAGAGACCTGGGTTCAGTTCCCGCTAAGGGCACGTACCTCGGTTGCAGTTTGTCCCCGGCCCTTGTTGGTCGTGCAGGTGGCAGTGACTCGATGTGTCCCTTTCACGTCGACGTTTCTCTCTCTCTCTCTCTCTTCCTCTCTCTCCCTCCCACTCTATCTGAAGAAAAAATAGAAAAATGTCCTCGGGTGAGGATAAAAAATAAAAAAAATTTAAAATTACCTAATTTTGCTGTCTAGCCAGAAATGAGTAAACAGCATTTTTATTTTTTATTTTTGCCAGCAATACATCACTACTTGTAAACAATGTGTTACGTGGAGATGTTTTATTCAGTCAAGGCGGTGCCCACTCCTTTTTTGTTGTCTCCCCTGCAGACAGAACTGACCTGCACACTCCCTGGAACTACACATTGCTACAAGTACCTTTTGGCTTAGCCTGAGGCAAACTCAATTTCAAAGGCCTTGAACATGCTCATCTGGATACGATCCCTGCAGATACCAGTAGCCTCTCCCTCCAACACTGTCACTTGCACAAAAAATGTTCCTTAGCAGGAAGCTGTGGTTTATCAAAGCTGATAATTCATCTGACACTAGTTTTACATGTGTATGTAATTTCTTAGCATTGTGTATGTTAAGTTAATGTTTTCCTGTAATTTGTTTGTGTTGCAGAAGAGATCTGGGTAATTGTTTTTACCCTTCTATTTTTTAATTATAAAATTATTTAACAACTTCTTTTGTAACAGCAAATGAGGTTAAATCATCCTGGTTCATGGAGTTTGGCAAGAGGAGAGAGCGATAATTCAATTGTGCATTTAAAAGATGAAGGTGGGATACTAGATTGCTTTGGGGAGAACACAACTGCTCTTCTATCTGGTTAATTAAGTTAAGAACAGGGCATTAAAACTTGTTCCACTGCAAGTTTGTCATCTGATCTTCTGCCAAACAGTGATTCACTTTAATTGTCTTTTCACAAAAGCATTAATTCATTTCTAAGAGAGAAGTGTTTTCGCCTCTATTTCTTTCCTCTTTGGTCTGTCTGTTCCTTCCTCCTCCACCTCCTACATCCATCCAAACCCCTATATCTCACTCTCCTGCATTGTCTCCCTCAAATCCACTTGATTGTTGTTTTTTTGGTACGTGCCCCTAGCGGGAACCGAACCCCGAACTCTCTGGTCCACAGGCCTGATGCTCCAACCACTGAGCCAAACCGGCCAGGGCCCCTTGAGTGTTGTTAAAGGATGATGGAAGTGGTTGATGTGATGACCATCATGATCTTTACTGTTTCTACTTCCTCAGCTCCCAGCTCCACTTAACCACTAACAAATCATCCAGGTTTTTGGATAGAGTGAGTGAACTTGGCTGTGAAATGTACCCCTCCCAGGAGTAAGCTGGCAAGGTTTTAATATCCCATTCCTCAAACACCTTCAGGCATTATTCTTCTCCCGACTTTGGCGCCCACTTCTGACTGCCCCCTAGCCCCATACCCGGGGACAGGCAAAGGGAGTGCAGCTTAAGACGTGCAGCCCCTCTGCTTTGCATCCCCCTGGGGAGTAAAAAGGACCTCAGGATAGCATAACTATCTCACTTCCCCTTAAGAAGTGCCCTGGCTGGTGTGGCTCAGTTGGTTGGGTGTTGTCAGGTGCACTGAAAGATTTTGGGTTCAATTTCTGGTCAGAACACAAGCCTGGGTTTCCAACTTGATCCCCGGTGGGGGAGGGGTGCGGGAGGCAGCTGATCCATGTTCTGTTCTCACATCAATGTTTCTCTTCTTCTCCCTTTCTCTCCCTCCAAACATCAATAAAAAATCTTGAAATGCAATGGCTAATAGTATGATGGCATTGTATAGAGAGTATGTTAAGGCATGTAGTGACTATTACTATCCCCATTTCATCAATGGGGGAATGAGGCAGAGAGAAATTAAGTGACTTGTCTACAATCATCCAGCTGATTAAGTGGTGAAGCTGATGGGTTTGAACCCAGGCCTGTGACTCCAAGGCCCCAGCATGCTTCAACAATGGGACCAAATGCTGGTAGTAATGTCTTCATTCTTCACTTAACCAAAATATATTTATTGAGCACCGACTATGTACTGGGCCATGTTCTAGTGCTGGGGAGCCAGAGGTGAGTTTAAAAGGGCACTGACCTCCAAGAATGTGCAGCCTAGAGGAGGAAGCCAGGGAGAAAGGATGCAGCCCCCAGAAGTCAGCCTGCTGGGGAAGCCTCCCGGGTTCCCTGGGAGTCACCGCAAGTGGGCACCCTCAGAGGATGTAACCAGACTCAACTCCCAAACGCTCCTTATGGCCTCTTCCTCCAGCTGCTGTTCGGCTAGATTCCCAGTGTGGGCTGAGAGATGCTGGTGGTGACTTACCTGCCCTGGCGCCGGCGGCCACCCTGGAGTGTAATTTGAACCGGGATGCTGAACGGCTGCATGAGACCAAGGGCTGGGCAGATGGACTCCTTTCACCTGAGTCATAGCCCCCGAGGGCGCGAGAAGGGTGCTGCTTCGGCCTGGGCGGAAGCGGCGTCCCAGAGGGCGCCAGCAGTCCCCGCACAGGCAACCCTCAAAAGCACCCGCGCTTCCAGAGCTGCCACCTGGTGGGGTGCGGCGCCCACTTTCTCGGACGGGTGGGAAGTCAGGGCAGGCCTGCCTGTGGCTCTACGGATTCCGGAAAAGGCCGAGCAGTCAGTTCTAGAAGCTCAAGAAGATCCTCCGGGGTTTTCTGCAGCCAGACCTCCTCCCCATGGCCTGCCAGCACCTGCCAGGCCTTATCACCTGTGTTCCGCTTTGCCACCCGGTGCGTCGCCATGGAGACCGAGCCCCTTGGGGAACGTTCCGAGACCCCAGGGACCCTATATAATTGGTGAGGGACATACTCAGTTCAAGGTTTATAAAAAGAGGAAGTGTTTTGCCCTGGCCATGTTTCCTCTTGCACAAGTTCTAGTGTAATAGTCGAGAAAAGACTTTTCTGGCTAGTGCGTGTTCTGGTTAAGAGAGTGTTTCTACTTGAGTTCGCAGCTTTTCAAGGCCCCAAGGACCATAAAATAACTCACCATTCAAACTTTATCAAAGGTCTAAAAACTATCAGATATCATTTTATCTGTCTTTGATAACATAAAAGGCATTTGGGGATCTTTTAATAACCTCCAGATCATAAACATCAATTATTATATTATAGCTTACTGAAATTGGATGATAGAATGCTAGCTAGGGTACTTTTGCTACATGCGTTTTAGTAAAGGTATTATTATCTTAACATTTCCCCAAACATTGGTGTGAGCAAGAGTGCAAGTATAATCTCATCTATAGATAGCATATTAACGGCTGCTTACAGTTATTTTAATATCGTTTAATTTAAAAATAATTTATAGCCCTGGCCGGTTTGGCTCAGTGGTTAGAGTGTCAGCCTGCGGTCCAGAGAGACCCGGGTTCGGGTCCCGTTAAGGGCACGTACCTCGGTTGCAGTTTTTCCCCCGGCCCTGGTTCGGTCTGCTGGTGGCAATCACTCAATGTGTCCCTTTAACGTCGATCTCTCTCTCTCTCTCTCTCTCTCTCTCTCTCTCTCTCTCTCTCTCTCTCCCCCCTCCCTCCCTCCCTCCCTCTCTCCCTCCCTCCCACTCTATCTGAACAAAAAAATAGAAAAATGTCCTCGAGTGAAGATTTAAAAAAATTTATATATTTCTGGTTTGTATTATTTTTCTGTTAGAGTTAGGGACTAGGTTCGTAGTAAAGTACGTGTACTTAATGTATTTTGGAATAAAAACTGATATCAATCAGAGGTTTTTTGCTTTCTGCCTCCTGCTTGTAATTTAGCATTGTAAATATATAATAACCTTTTCCTTTCAGATTTAGATGTGCTAATAAATTCCCCTGCAATTTAGTATGTAACTCTCTCTGAAGAAGTGAATGATTTGCTGCCATTTTTATGTATTTGATTTAACCTCTGAAATAGAACAATTTTTGAGCCTGTGAGACCCCTATTGGCACCCGGAATTTGCACCTGCCTTTACTGGGGCTTCCAGTTACTTCCTTCTTTTGATTCTAATTCCGTTTAAGTGAACACGCTCATGCACTATCTTTTAAAATTCACCTTAAGAGGGTATAGAGAGAGCCTGGCTGGTGTGGCTCAGTGGTTGAGCCTCAACCCATGCACCAGAAGGTCACCAGTTTGATTCCTGGTCAGGGCACATGCCCAGGTTGTAGACCAAATCCCCAGTGGAGGGCATGCAGGAGGTGGCCAATCAATGTTCTCTGTCATCATTGTTTCTATCTTCTTCTCTCTCTCCTTCCCTCTCTCTCTAAAATCAATAAAGAAAAAAAAAATTTTTTTAAGAAGGTACAGAGAGCAAAAGTGAGTTATTTTAAATTACTTTTAGTCTCAATTTAAAAGTTCTGATAGACCCAGATAGATTTATTGTGGGTCCTGGACACATCTGGCCCTGGATATGTCTCAAGTGTGGCTGACCTAATGGGCCATCTGAACTTGATCTCAGACTGAACCTGTGCTTTATTTTTTATAAAGGGCCAAGATGGCAAGTGAGAAGGAGTAACATAACCTGTTGCCCTTTGGTTTTCCTCTGGGTGCCCCTTCACTTGGTAACTGGTTAGCCTCTCCATCTACCAACACCAGACAATGCCCCTCATGTCTCTACAGCAAGTCCCATTCACTCAAGCCTACTTCTCAAGAAGAACCTAGAGTGGTTGGCATAAATTGCAATCCCATGTGTCCATTCAGGAACATGGCAAGCTCAGACAGTTCTGCGGTGGTAAGAGACCATGGGTATTTGTACTGTCATTGTCTGTCAGGATCTCTGGTCATCACTCTTGGTCCCCCTAGACTCTCCCTGAACTCCTAGTTTATTCCTCTCTCTCAGAGTTGCTGGAGACCACTTTCTGCTCACAGAACATAAACCGGGAGTCAGCTGTCTACCACCATGTTGGTTTCCTCCCTCTCTGGGCCAGTCTTTGGGTGCTGTGTTCAAATCCCAGATCAGTAACTTCAAATAACTCTGTAAACATTCTCTGTCCTGGTTTTCCTCAGGAAAAAGGGCGTAAATGAAACTTGTTGGGAGTTGTATGAGTATGGAGAAATTTAATTAGTGCCCATAAACTGCTGTGAGATTTATAGATGAAAGAGGGTGTTATTGCAAAATGCTGGCTGGCATCATGAATGCCTGACTCGCGTCCCGTCCGTGGTTTTTGTTTTTTTGCACTTTACAGATGCTTTACATGAGAAGAAGAAGAAGAAGAAGAAGAAGAAGAAGAAGAATCATCTCTCCCTTTACCCATGCTGAGAAACTACTCACTCATCTTGTTTACATTCTCTCAATTACACATTCCTATTACAGCTAAGAATTCCTTTGTAGCTAAAATGCTCCATGTCCATGAGAAACATATTTCTCTTTCCAAGTTCAGAGATGCACAAATCATTTACAACCACAAAAAAGTCTATAACAGTCTATGCTCTTTTTGTGTCTCTGTGTATTTGTGTGTCAGAGACTAAATAAATCCCTAACTGAACCATCATCTCAGTATGAGTAGTTTTTGCTGACATAAGCAACAACGTAAGCTCTCAAAGTAAAGTCATATCTGATCTTAAATTCTCTTTGCAAGGGGAAAAAAAGCAAGGGAGTATGATCTGTGCCACCCACTTATGGAGTCTTAGATCGAATCTTTCTTTCTTTCTTTCTTTTTTTTTAATCTTAATGACTATCTCCAGCCACCTTTACTAATCAAATCGACACTGGTGTGTGTCAGAGGAACCAGCATCACCTCCCTGAAGGTGTTCTCCCTGCTCTGATGAGTAATAATACTACTGACTAACACCTATTCAGCTCTTGCCACCAGCCAGGCATGAGTCTAAGGCTTTGCATGTTTTTTCTCTATATAGCAGTGATTTTCACCCGGTGTGCCACAGCAGGCCCACTGGCGTGCCACAAGAATGTTTAAAACATGCAATATCTGACTATTTAGTCAGGGGCACTGACCTCTTCTCCCTTAGATTGTCAAATGAATTAAAATGACAACAGCCAACACAACAATAACCATCCAGTGTGAATGAATAAAAAGTATACCAATTTTTGTCAGATCAGCAAAAATATAATTTCTTTTAAGTATATTTTTATTGATTTTTTTGAGAGAGGGGAAGGGAGAGAGGGAGAAACATCAATGTGAGAGAGAGCTACATCGATCAGCTGCCTCCTGCATGCCCCCCACTGAGGAACAAGCCCATACCTGGGGCAGGTGCCCTGATAGGGAATTGTACTGGTGACCTCTTGGTCCATGGGTTGATGCTCAACCACTGAACCACACTGGCCGAGCTATATATATTTTTTGATGTACCACGGAATTTTAGTGATTAGTTTATGTGTGCCATGAGATGAAAAGGGTTGAGAATCACTGGTACATAGCATTGAAAGCAACCACTTCCGGGCAACTGGGGTAGGCTTGAAAGACGAAAACATCTGGCTTTCCCTGGCTAGATCTTCTTTTATATCCACAGCCTGGCCACAGTGTGAACTAAAGTTCAAGATGATGGTTGTGAGAATCTGCAAGATTCTTAATCATTTATTCAACAAGCATTTAGTGAGCTTCTCCCAAGGTAGACTTCAGTTACAGTCACATGGGCGCTGCAGTGGTTCTCAAGGGGAGAGTGCCACCCCCTGGTGGGCATCTTGGAAATATGTCAGGTGTTTCTTGGTTGTCACCATGCATGGAGTGGACAGCCAAATGGAGCAGATGTCCTGCAGGGTACAAGAAAGTTCCATGCAACAGAGAATTACACTGAGTGCCATGGAAATGTCCATGTCCACTGGACATTCATGGAGGTGAAAAGCCTATTTATAATGATCGGAGCTAAAAACCTCACTCCATTTTCCATATAAACACAACATGTCTCATGTTTGAGAGGATTTTTTTTGTTTGTTTTTTTTATTCTCACCCAAGGACATTTTTACATGTATCTACAGATAGAGCAGGAGGGAGGAAGAGAGAGAGAAACATCAATGTGAGAGAGATACATCAAGTGGTCACCACCCACATGACCCCAACCGGGACCGGGGACCAACTGCACCCGAGGTACATGCCCTTAGTGGGAACCGAACCTGGGACTATCTGATCCGCAGGCTGATGCTCTAACCACTGAGCAAAACAGGCCAGGGAATGTTTGAAAGTCTTTACATTCTTTCAATATCCACTGAATTTTCCAAAAATGCCTCTACTGTGTAAATAGAGAGAAATGTGTGCTTGTTTTGTTCAGAATTTTCTCAAAAGTCCCTCACATTTTAGAAAATCGCCTCAGCATAGCTGCACAGCATTTGAGTTGCCAATATAGTAAAACGGACAGATCAGATGTCCAGCGGTCACATTCATGGTGACTGTGCACATAGATGCCAGCGTCTGTGCTTCTTGTACTGCTGATACAGCCATGAAA